CTATGATTCTATGATTCTATGATTAATTTGCACGTGCAGAAAAGAACATTTTGTTCCTTAAGACAAAAGACATAAATTATTCTTCACAGGAGAGACTACATAGCTCATGAAGTGTTGCCGCAGAAGCTTAAACCACCTGAAACGCATGTCAAGAGTGATGAGAGTATGGATTTGACCTCAACTTATAAACAAGATTATAACGCCTACCCTATATCTAAAGTACCTCCGTGCCTCCCCTGTGTGGTGAGACACATCCCCAACACCAAGATGGATACAAGAACCACTTATGAAGGTATGTGCCTTTTGTTGCATGTAGTGATGGATAAGTTTGGTAAGAGAAGAATCCCCTTGAGTTCTAGGTGGTCCTCAAAGAGGCTAGGAGTGGCTGGACTTATCTCTTAATAGGTATGCCAATTATTGCTGTGACTATAGGCCCAATATCAGATGCAGGAACAGCCTGCCTGCTGTGGGTCTGGCCTCATTTGAAAGAAGCAGCTGGGTGCATGAATGGTACAGTTTATCCATATGCAACAGGTACAGATTCTTTGAGATTGCCAGTGATAAACGCAGTAAGCTGTAGAATAGTTATAGAGCTCTAAGATTGTTTTGCCAATGACTAGGCCTAGCAGGAATGACACAGCCAGCAGGAAGATAAACCAGTAAGTGGATTGTATTGAGTATAGAAAGGACATTCCATGGACAATTGCTGGGGGTACAAACAAGTCAATCAGTTCAGAAGCAATTGACATTACTCCCAATGATCCCAACAAAGACATAACCTGACTGACAATAGGTGGAACAAAAAAAATAACCAAGGCGTCCCGTAGATGGAATGGGAATCAAGAAGTTAAACATATAAGATAAAGGTGGCCATATTGCCAGCTCTCACCCTCGTAGCCCGCATTTGCGAAGTTCCAAGCTGACCGGGGCCCAGTTCTATGGAAAGTCAGGAAGTCCTTCCTCAACCAGGAAGCTCTGTGAAGTGCATCCACTTCACAGACAGACGCTTCTCTCTTCATGCAAGTGGTCCTAGCTTTTATCCCCAAGCGGGACATCTGACCTTTGGTTACTCAATACAGGACCCCTGGGGCTCATTTACCTTACGGGTCTCCCTGCAGGGCCAGCTGCACCCTGGAGGGAGGCTAAAAGGGAAACTCACCACCTCTTTATGAAGGACTTTTATGTCAACCTTAATTCGGGGCTCGGGGTTCAAACCCCAGTATTTCAAAAATCTGGTTGCCAACACAAGCTTCATCTCCCAGGGAAGCACTGAGCATAGCTGAGTTCGTGAATCTTACCAAAAAGGCATGCCTTCCGGCGAGGGTGAGGAGGACAAACCCATCAATCTGTCCCTATGATTTGGTGTTGAATTCTCATCCCCCAAGTTATGTCCGAAACAGGGATAATATTTATATCTTATGTTCAGTGCTGTTGTGCGAATTGTGGGAGTGGTCGAGCCATTGTTTCTTGTGTCCAGCCTTTAGCAGTGGCACAAAATATTTATGACTTCTTTGCTAACTTCTCTGAGAAACAGATAGCTGCCATGATAAGCAGGAAAATGAGATAAGTGGAAAAATGGGGGCACACAGCCTTCACTCCATTCCACATTCCTCCTGGGTGCCGTGAGAGTACAGACCACTGGACCTTCACCCAGACTCCATGTCTGTCCTAGTCACCAGGTGTTTATCAGCGGTGTTGAGTTTTGCAATTTTTAATTGTTTTGTGCTTCCAATACCTTTGCGGTTTCTTTCAGGACTTCACTAGTAGCATAATTTTTGAAGAATACTGGTCAAAACGTTATGCGGTTGTTATTTGCTCTAAGCTCTAGCAAGCTGTGCAGGAACCACACAGATATGAACTGTTGGGAACACAGCCCCACATTAATGGGATCTCTCTGAAATCTCAGCTCTCTCATTGGGATCTCTCTGAATTCATCTCCTTTTCCTGTCTGAAAGGCCTACAAGCATTCTAGGTAGAATCAGGGCCATGTGAAGTGCTGCATGTGGGTCCAGCATCATCATCTTTAGGAGACATTGAACATACCCTTGGTATACTGCAGGGGTGGTCCATGCATTCAGTGAATCAGACAATATTCTAAAATATGAAGAATTTTCTGGGTCTGAGCATGCCATGAAACATGGAACCTCCTTTGTGTGTTCTGCAGGCTTAATCTGTGGATATGCAACAGACGTATATGGGAATTAGGAACACACAGAAGTTTCACACAAATATCCAAAGCATTCAAGCTCTGCTCCTGGTAAAATAGGCAAACTGTGTATCTAGTTATGTCCTTGTTTCTCAGTAGCAGTAACTTGCTGTAGGTGGTTTGTCTTTGTTCAAAGGAGCCTCAAACAAAGGAGGCTTTGTTCCTTCCTCTCCACCAGTACGAATTCTCGTCTGTGTGCACTGAGAGGAAACTTTCAGTTACACAGGTACAGCAGCTGTGCTAGTTTGGTAGTAAGTCATCAGTGAAAAATCAGAGGATTTTGCCTTCCTTCTGTACAATTTCCAGCTAGGTAACATTGTGAGACAGATAGTTAGCATCTGTATCTTCCTTAAAATATTTTAAAATCATTTTACTTAATTTCTTATTTTATTTTTATTTTCCTGTGCAAATATAAAAGCTTATGGCTGGTGCTGGCATTGAGATTTGCCCCAGTGTACAAACAAATTTTTTTCTTAAAACTCACATTGATAAATGAAGTAAGGAAATAAAAGGTCCATGAATGCAGTGTTAAGGTTACACATCTGAAACAGACTTCTGTGCAGCTGCATGTTTGCAACAGTATAGGCTGGAATTTTTTTTGTTAAACACATGGGAAATACTGCCCATTTAGAATGACTTGTGTCATGAAGACTGGGATCCACAGGTGCAAAATACCCATGTTTACACAATTTTGAGCATTGTGCTTTACACATATCTGAACCAGATGTATAGCTTTGTCTTTTACCAGTGTTTAGGTCACCACCTTAACTGTTATTCCAAAGCTCTAAGAAAATGTATCACAGCCACATTTGGTTATAAATTGCAGTATTTTTCAAAACACTGCAAATGGAAATCTTTGTCCAAATCCCTCAAAGACCAAGTACTGAATTAATTCCCTTTTAAAGGCCCAGGTTCACAAAAAAAAAATACAAGTTTTCATTGTACTGTCATCTAAACGTTGCTAGGTTTTACCGATCGTTCAAGTATAAAATTTTGAAACATGCTATTCAATTAATTGCCATCATCCAAATATTTAAGCAGCATATAAAACAGCGCTGCATTGATACTACCTTACCTCTCCTACTATACTCTCATACTCCTTCCCCCTGAACACAGCATGTCCCAAATGGCACTGTAGGTTTAAGATGAAGCTCCTTCATATCACAATTAATGTCAGATGACTTTGCAACTTAAGGTTTTGAAATTCTTGTCTCCTCCAAGCTAGACACATAGATGTTTCTATCCATCTGCAGGTACGTAATCTAACAGAGGTTCCTATCCTCCGTTCCCTCCTGTACCCCCTAATGTTTTCAAGATTATGCTACATGGGAAACTATTCATATCTATGGGAGAGGAATTAGAATTACAATAAAATTGTAACATATTTTGAAGGAAGAGTAGCATTGCTGGCTTTCACTAAGTAGAAAAAATTCATAATGCCTTTGAGGTTTCCAAATGTGTAGAGTTTGTAAATTTTTAAAATTGAAGACAGATGCACTTCCTTGTCATATTTTGAATATTTTACAAAAGCTGTGGTTAGGTCCAAAATGTGCAGACTATTTGCCAGCAAATATGATGGGAGAACCTGAAAAGTTTTTTGTTAACTCTTGATTGGCATCTGAAATGTCAGATCTATGGACAGCTGCTTGCTTAGAGGTGGTCTGAATCTCTTCAGCTTCTTACTTTTTAACACGGTATTAAAACTTCTCCTGTAATAACACATGTCTGTGGTTCACCCTCTTGGATGATCTCTCCAGGAAAATGATGTGCTCTAGACATGGGCACAAGTGCAGTGGTACCTGGACGTCTCCTTTTCCTCCAGAGAATCGGAAGCACCTGTGGCATTTAAACACCCCAGCAGTAGCAGGGCACACAGCCCGGGTTTCAGTGGCACCAAGAGTGGCAAATGAATGACTGTGCTAGTGCAAACAGGCATGCCCATGTTCTCAGCTGACTACACTAATTAGCAGCATGACAGCAACTCATGGGCCAGGGGGCTCACTGGGAGCAGCATGGTACCTGTCACTGCTGCTTCATCTCTCGTGCCAGGCCACAGCAACTTGGTTTAATCAGAAGGACTTTAAATGGACACCTAATTGGGGCAAAAAAGTAATTCTTTTTTTGGTAAACTTCACACTGTAATGAACAAATCCTTTGTGTAACTTTATTTGTGTGATACAATAGCCACTGCCATTGAAAAAGAATAGCTTTGTTGGTATTAGAGAGTTCAAATATCCTGATACCTAATTGCATCATTTACTTTCTAGTACTTTGAAATATAGATATCCTTCCTTTGCAGAGTCAGCTGGAAGCTTTTTTGCCTTGTGACTCTCAATGTGGTTTGAAAGGAGAGAAAAAAGAAAAAGTAGAGTTGGGTTAGTTCCAAGACTATTTGATTTCAACTTCCTACCAGTGGCCATAATGCTCTCTAGGTGAAGCTGGACAAGATTATTAGGAAGGAAAAAAATTATGATCATGTGGCTGCAGCACTGTTTGGAGAGTTAGGCAGCTTTGCAAGACATTTCTTGTGTGACTGAGTGCAAATCCTAAGTCTCAGTGCCTCATTTTTTTTCTCATGTCCTGCTAAGGAAGGAAGATAGGAATGTCCCAAAAATGCTGCCCAGAATGTTTTCTTGTTCATGAATCCGGACAGCAATATTTCTGGACTATGGAAATCGTATCTACAATACGATTCAATGCTTCAGATCAGCATAGGCTTGGTCTACAAATTCCAGCACAGTTTTTCTGTTAAGGGAGAGTTGAAGACAGAGTTACAAGCTCCTTCTTGGTTCCTGCTTGTGCTGACAGCAGGGGTACCACAGAGTGGTAAGCCAAGAGCTGAGGAGATGCCATACAGCTTGCTGACACCAAGATGAGCTGCAAATCCCTTAACTCAGGAAACAGTAGGCAGCATCACATCTGTGCAGTTGAGAAATCAAGTCACACCCAAATAAAATGATGAAATCAGATCATGCCCAGAAAGGAAGGGCAACTCTGCAACTTGGGTTTTAGAATGGAATGGTGGGCATCCAGTTCTACTTCCCCCAGAGATACTGTGGGAGACACCTGAACTGTCTTCTGCAGACATAGGCATTCTCCACCTGTGCCAGCCACAGCATAGTGGTGCAGGAAGGTAAATTAAGGTGGTCAAAGTCAGTGCCATGATACTCCACTTTCATGATTTCTGGTTGACTAAGTGTAAGAATAGCACCCAACCAGTCAGCTGCAGAAAATGCCTCTGCAGGGTGGAGAATGCAATTTAGTCTTCCCACATTGTATTTCACCATCTCTATAGGTATGGTTGGGTACTATTTTCATTCTGTTTTCTATGTAGATGCTAAACATTGCCAGGGGTTAGCACACTACTATATAATGTTTTCTACAGCAGTTCTTTTAATAGTATTTGTCAATTATTACAACATCAACAAATATTTGTTACAGTAGAACATATAATAATCAAAACATAGTATGGCATATGCCAAAACTCACCAAAGAACTTTAGCTGAGCACTGAAACAGCATTCCTCTTACGTTTCAGATGACTATGTGCTCTGGAATGAACCGAAGACTGAGTCAATCAGACCAAACAACAGGTTTTGCCCATCAGAAGAAAACTTTGACCACAAAACCAGTGCTCAGGATGACTATCTCTACAGGGGTCCAGTTGCCACTCAAAGCTGCAAACCTCTGACTCTGGCCCAGAAAATCAAGGCTCCCTTTGAGAATATAACCAGTTATAGAGTGAATTATGTGCCACATCCTCTGGAAAAACGTTATGTCCATAAAAATGAGAAATACAAGGTCAGTGAGGTCCCATTTGATGGCCTCACTACCCACAAAGTTTCTTATAAGGGGCTGGCTGGTAAGCCAGCCAAGACTGCAAAACCAGAACAGTTGAAGCTTCTCCATGATCTTCCGTTTTTCTCTACAACGGAGTTTCAGGAAAAATACCAAGCTTGGCCACAGCCTCCCATATTCACCAAAAAACCTGATGTGTATCTTCCACCTTTGGAGAAAATGGACCTTCACACCACTACTCAGATAGACTACAAGCACCCAAATGGCAAACCAGCCAAAATGTGTCGCTCTTTGGTCCAATTTAAAAAAAATACTGAGCCATTCAATAGCACTTCTATAATGAAGGAAGACTATAAGCCTTGGCTGTGCAAGAGAGTAAGACCTATCATTCATACTCCGGAGATGACTTTCTCAAAAAAACCAATGGATTGCTTGACTACGTTTCAGAGACACTATGTGCCTCATCCACTCACAGTTGCAAAGAGCTATAAACCTGGATGGTCAGGCCCAGAGCATCACACTCCACTAGATGCAAAAACGATCTATGCTACCAGCTACACACCAAAAGGCACTGTTAGATGCTTGGCCTCTTATAAAAACCCACCCGGTTATGTCTTTGAAGGAGCTGATGCTGATGGTCACAATCTCTATCTCTGTGCTTCTGAGAGTGAGCATCTGCAAGGTGGACACTGAAGAAAAAAGAGTGGATGAAGCATTCTTGCAAATGGATTTAAAGTACAAATGACAGCTCTATTTTGTTTGTAACCTTCTTTCACAGTGACCATTGATCCATATTTGCAGAGCTCTGAAAATAAACTTAATTCCTAGACATTGCCTCTTGTTGGATCATTTGCACAAATGAAAGACATAAAATTTAGTGAAAAGACACATTGATCCTTTTTTTTTTTTGACTCATCTACTCTTGCTCTCTAGTTGAGAGACCTATCATCATCCTGAGACACTAAAAGGGAGATATTGTAGGAACATACATTATTATTAGTGTAATGGGGTTTCAACCACATCCATGACAGTGGTAGAGAAGCTTCTTCAGAAGAATTACATGCTGTGAAGTCACACTTAAAACTCATGGCTGGATAACAAATTCTAGGATCTGGCCTTATCAGTCACTCATATCAAAGACACATACAAAAGGTACAGGTACTGGATAAATTTTACTGAAGACAGCACCTTCATTAATTGCATCACCGTGCTGCCCAAAGCTAGACTATCATATGTGAAGTTGCCACATCCTGCCCTCTTCTCTAGTGAGACTCCATCTGGAGTACTGCATCCAGCTCTGGAGCCCCCAACACAAGAATGACATGCAGCTGTTGGAGTGGGTCCAGAGGGGAACCATAAAGATGATCAGAGGGCTGGAACACCTCTCTTATAAGGAAAAGCTGAGAGAGTTGGGATTGTTCAGCATGGATAAAAGGAGGCTCTAGGGAGACCTCATCATGGCCTTTCAGTACCTGAAAAGCGCCTACAAGAAAGCTCGGGAGGGACATTTTACAGGGGCTTGTAGTGATAGGATGAGGTGTGATGGATTCAAAATGACTTCAAACTGGAAGAGGGTAGATTTAGATTAGATGTAAGGAACAAGTTCTTCCATATGAGGGTGCTGAGACACTGGAACAGGTGGCCCAAGGCCATTGCAGATGCCCCATCACTGGAGGTGGTACTACAGGGACCGCTGTGTCTCTGTAGCAGAGCCTCTGTGTGCTGTGTGGCCTCCCTTGGAGGAAGGGTTTGTTTAATCCTCCCTCTGCCAGCCTCCTCTTCTTCTTGAGTGGAGTGCTGATCACAAGGTGAGACCTCTCCACCACAGGAACAGGGCTGTGCTTCTGTTCCTCTTGGCCTCCTGTGCAGTTAGCCTTTGCTCTGTAATGCAGTTAAACAACGTATTCCCACCCTGAAGTTTAATTCTGATTACATGGTCAGTGTAATTAGAAAATCAGCTTAAAAAAACTATAATTTAAGGTACAATTATTTAACATAGAAAACAGATGGGCTGCACTGCAGTACACAGGATTTAGTTACTGTTTTCATGCAGAATTAATTTATGGATAAAGATGAACAAGAGTTAGTTTTACCTCACGTTTGTGCCACTTAAATTTAACTTTTTCTTACAATGGTCATAATCTCAAAAAGAAGGGAGTACAGGTAGAAGTTAGAAGCTCTGAAAGTTTGTTCAAAAGGTCATCAAACATACAGCTTTGTGTAATTATTTTTGGAGTTGCATATAGGAGATGGAGGAAAATGAAGCTGTATTGAGGTGCACAGTGGAACTAGATGCTAGATGCAGAGTTATGGATGAACTAGCACTTGTTCAGAAACCTCTCAATTGTTCTCTAGTGATCTTGCCTGTTCCATGGGACAATAATGAGTTAAAAGAGACTACCTGCCTTTGCCCAGCTTGCATCACTGGGAGCAACCTTAAGGAGCACAACACTTCTCACTCAGCGAGCAAATGGATGGAAAGAGAGAAGTCAGCTGTAATCAACCTCCTCCTTCACTCATTGGTACTTTTGAAGAATGGATAATGGCATGAATACCTAAACACTGGCCTAAGTACAAAGACTACTATAAAAAAAGTTTAAAAGGCCAAAAAGCAAGGTTGAAAGCAAGGGCCTTTGTCCTTGGCAGGGCTGAGAAGGGCATCCAGGGGAGCCGTACTGTGAAACATGCAAAAAAGAACAAGGGGGATTGTGCTAAGCAGAATCTTCTAGGTGGAAACCATCACTGCTAGAGCAGATTACTGCACCGGCTATCAATTCCTGTAATCATTGCCAATAGACATCAGCTGAGCATGGGAACGATCCCCTGCGGGTACACTGCAGAGCCTGTTGGAAAAGATAGCTTCTTCTTGCATCCCTGAAAACACAGGAGAACTCACCAGTGCTGATATCCAGGGAAAAACACAATATGTCAGGCAAGTCTTAAGCATGAAAGCTGAATTAAGGAGGTATGTCCAAACTAAATTGTAGGTGGTAGCAGCTTCCCAGAAGGTCCTGAATGTCTGCTCAGACAGGAGGCAGGACTGTGGCTTCTGCCTGTGGAAAGGCTAAGGAAAAATACTTAACTGCCTTGTCCTCAGCAGTTCTGGAAGAAACCAAGTTATCTGTGCTAATAGGGGAGAGAACTAATTAGTTCAGCTTTGACTTGCATGATATCAACCTTTCAACCACCTGTGTCTGCAAGGGCTGCAAACCCCAGTGCCCTACATCTGAAGGAGACAGTTATTCCATCTGGAGATTTGGCAACAGATGAGATGTCAAAAAACCTGTAAGTCATATACTTACTTACAATTTAGAAATACGATCAGGCAGCAAATTTGTAAGAAGTTTAGCACCACAAACAGTAATCAGGGCTTCACCTAGTGCTATGGATTGCTAGAGAAAGCAAATTGTCAGCACAATTTTAGAGCTATGATGAAACTGTTGAAAGATATGTGGTATGTTTCAGCAAGGACTGAAGATGTTCATATCTCAGAGGGAAGCAGTATTGATCCTGGACATGGTACTCTTGGGCCAGGAAGCAGCTGAACTTGATGTACGAAAGAGAAAGCCGTTTCTCTGCAAGACAAAAAAGGACTTTCCTGGGGCATGGACAGGATCTCCCAGAGGAAGCCATGCCATCTCAGTTGGAAAGAGGCATTTGGGCAGGGAACCATGGTCTGGGTTCACTGGGATGGGAAAATACCACAACAAATTTTCTGAGCAGAGTTTGCTTTTGGCTGATCACATTATAAATCCCTCATCCCCCTGTTGCATTGCCTTTTCTGCCTCTGTCCTACACTGAAAGTGGTAGCTTGGTGATTTGTGCCTCTCTCCTTTCTCTTGTGGAGAAGTACTGCTTTGGGACAACCTGATTTTCACTTCTCCATTACCTGCCTGCCTGTCTGTCCCACAGATGTTTTAAGCTGCATTCAGCAGAGACGGAATAGGGTAACTCTTAAAGAGGCAGTGGTGAGTTTGGCTTTATGTTTGCCATTTCCACCAGCTTACTAGTGCTGTGCTTGCTGGTGTGAACTGTGCCCGGATAGGCGAGAGGACTTGTGTGGCACTGCTGAGTGCTGGCTCAGCACAGGCTCGAGGGTGTTGCTGTGCTGGGTGAGCAGGCCCCTGCTCTGCTTTGCTCTCTGCTAAAAAAGAAAAGTATCTGTGGGATCTTTCCTGGACAGCTGGATTTGATTTGCTGTGATTTGTATGTAGTGGCTTAACAGTGAGATATTTCTTTTTTGGTAATAAAATCACTAGGTAGTAGGCTATTAGCTGAAAACTGACTCCATCAGTGTTTTGGTAGGTGAAGTGTTTTAACAAGCATCCACCAACTTTATTTAAACCTATAATTTATGCTCTTTAAAAAAAGCAGCATGTTGAAAAGGGTAGAGGGAAGTCTCTATATATAGCCCAAACCAAATTACTCCTCAGCCCAACCATTAAGCACTTCCTTAAGAGAAAATAATCCCGTCCTGGCTCCTCACTTGGAGAGCAAGCTGTTCACAGTCTGTCTGCTGTGATCTTTCTGGTTCAGGTTTTATTACTGTGCTTTGCCACTGGCCCAAGGGAGTTTGTAAACAAAGTAGGCTCAGACCTCATGTGAGACCTAGGTGCAGCAGAGTACTTTGTAATCTTAAAGAGAGCCGTAGTAGGGAGTGGTTTCCCATGCCCATGTCATTGTAAGCATGTGTGGTTAACTATATGCTTGCTCTGCAATTGTTCACATCCTGCCACCGCTTAAACAAACATCTATACATAAACAAGTATCTATACATAGCCAGAGGGCAACCCTCCAATGTCCCCTTCACTTCTAGCCACATAAAACTGCATACTTTTATTTATATCTACATAAATATAAAGCTTTTCTTTGCAAAGGGCTTAAAGGCTTAGGCAATGCTCTTGTTTTTCCTTTTTCCCTTTCTCCTAAGAAATAAGCCATATTAGCAGGAAGCATAGAGAACTGCAACCAGAACAAGCAGCACACCGACTGTTCATTGTTTTGACTTAAAAGCCCTAGTTATCAAAATTTCATGGACCCTATTTCTTGCTCAAGCCAGCTGAAACGTCTCCCTGCCCCCTCCTTGATCTCAGAGCACTTGTTCTGCCTGCAGAGAGGAGTCTCCTGCCCAGGCTCTGTGCAGACTGGCCTCAGCCAATGCAGTCCTGCCTGCTGTGCTGCAGCCCTCCTGTAGCCTCCGTGACTTAGCCAAATGTGGTCTTTCAGCTGATACTTGGGAAATTTGTGTTTCTGAGCAAGCTTGGAAGCTTCCTAGGAGACAAGAATGATGCCGCTGGTGAAGGATGAGCATTTTGTGATATCAGGATTGCCTTTGTTGTGCGAGTGTAGAGATGCTGCTGCAGTAGCTGCACCAACATGCTGTGTGGAGGAATCTGTTTAGAAATACGCTGCCCATCTTACTCAAAAGCCGTTGCTTTTGTTGACAGAAGGAGTTGTTTTGAAGGGATTGTGGAAGTAGCGTGTTAGAACAGAGCCTTTCTTTGGGACTTTTAGCAATTAAATTTAGTAATCAAATCAGCTGTCAGGGTCAAAGACCTGCAGAGCTCTCTGGGGCTATGTAAGAAAGTGAAGGAGAGAGGAGTGGTTCTGGGCTCTCGTCACTGGGACAATGAGGTGTCGAGGAGAAAGGGGTGTGAGATGAGTGACATAATGCTTCATCACTCCTCATCTGC